CTCCGTTGTCCATTTTTGCGGAATCCTACTACATATAAAAAAATAGTGTCTGTGTGTGTGTGTGAGTGTGTCCGTGCCACTTTGCATGCAACTTCCGTCAGCGTGTTCCAGTAGTATCTCAATAAGGTGGGTAGTTAGGGGTATGTTTTATACCTCATTAGGTGCGTCATGGCCCTGGAATGACTGCACCAGGGACGTAGCGTAATACAGGCCCCGGGGGCCCGGGCCCCCCGAAATCGGCCGGGGCCCGAAAATGTCATAAGGGGGGACCCTTATGATTTTTATTTTCTCAAAAATTTTGCTGCCTGCGGCGCTATTTTTTCACGTTTTTTTTACGGCTATTTGTAGAGCTATGCAACCTTTTTTTCAAAAATTTTTGCCTGCGGCGCTGTTTTTTCGGTAATGTTTTGGGTTTTTTTGGAAAATTTTTTTGGGGCCCCCCCCCCGAAATTTTTTTCTGGCTACGTCCCTGGACTGCACACTCATAAAATTTTCAAAAATTAACTGTTTTCGACGTTAAAATTAAGTTTGTGTTGAAAAACGAGCACCTTCTTTGTTAGGAAACAATTAGCATAGACCGGAAGTCACAGTAGCCTATATAAGGGCAGAGGGGTAGCGTTTCTCATTTTTTGTCATCGAAAACCGTGAGAATTATGCAAAGTGAAGAATATCATGGGATCAGACGGGGCCAGGGTTGAAAAGTCGCGAAGCGGCTTTTCAACCCTGGTCTGTCCTTGATTTTACAGAATTTTAAAACTGCACCCGAAAACGATCATTTCGCTTTTTCATATTAAAAAAAGCAGAGATAGCCATTCCGCAAAAATGAACAACGGAGCCCTGTTCGGAATGGAATTCCCTATCGAATGCGCTATGCCTTGACACTTTGCAAATGATGGACCGCAAACGGTCGCCTGGGAAGGTCTTTCGCGAAAGTTCTATGCGTCGAATCTGCCCACTCTTTGCGGAGTAAAGTCCGAGCTTCATCTGCTGGCCCTCACTCTCTGTTTTTTCGTATCGTCATAGCATCAAAAGGTTATTTTTAAGTTTTAAAGGGCTGCCGACGGCATGTGTCGATCCCCCCTCATCAACAAATTGGCAAGTTGCCAACAGGGGAGAGAGCGCGCCCCGGGGAGAGGCGCAGAGACATTTTCTTTCCAGCGCGTAACCGATTGACTATGCCGTCGGCATCCCTTTAAATTTCTCGGAAACAGGGTTTTAGAAAAAATGACCGTATTCCGTTGCCTCCGCCCGCCGTTTAAACAATCGTCACCATTCATTCTCCGCTTGCCTAAAAAATTGATTGAAATTTGTTGCAGGACCTTTCTCCCGTCCCGGATCGATCCGCTATGCAACGGCCACCAAATTTTTGCGCAAGAAAATGGGCGAAAGCGATGGCGATAAAGCACGAGGTCCCATTAGCTACACCTCCCGACAGGCTTTTGCTTTTTCGATTTGTTCTGTATTTTCGTGATTTGTAGAGTTTGTTTGAATAATAATTTAAGGATATCCACCATTTAAGAGATCAGCTATCTGAAAGGCCTTGAAATATGCTAATTTGAACTTGTGTAGCAAGAAAACGGCTGAAAACGCTCAAAACCGCTCGTGCGAGCCGAAATACGTTGAAAATTTTGGTGTTTCTCATTCAATAAGCTCCCATTTCAGATCAATCACCTCAATCCCCCGTTTCGTGGCGATGGAGGTCATATTTTTCTAAAAAAAAAACACATTTTGCTTTAGGATGATTGGGATTTGTTGGTGTCGTTTGAGGACAACGCGGTGCAATTCCACGCTGCCGCCTTGCAAACCAGTTTGTTAGCCCCGCAATATGCAAATCGGCAGGTAATACAGGTTTTGTTAAAGGGCACGTTCAGGGACGCTTTTTTGGAAAAAAGCAAAAATTTTTGCCGCGGCCGGGGGTCGAACCCGGACCCCCCGCTCGGGAAGCGCGGATGCATACCAGTCAGCCACAGCTACAACCTGGCTCGGGGGCGAGGGGCGCCCCACGCCGCAAAGGAGGGGAATGGCCTGTCACAGCACGGGCAGGCCCTGCGCGCGGTCCCTACGTCCATAGGGTGTACACGTTGCGACGAGTACACGGCCCCTCCCTGAACGTGCGCTTTAAGGCTAAATTTAGCTGTTAAAAAGTAAAATGTGCATCTTTTTTGATTCCTATCTAATCGCGTCGAAAAATAACGTAAAAAATCATAAAGCTGTCGAAAACCGGCTTATCAATACGTTTCCAAATATTATCATTGTTTTTCTTTAACTGGCTCAGATTACAAATTTGGAGCTGTAGTTAAATGGTTTGTATTTTAATGCTACATCGTAGCGCATTAAAAAGTAAAAAATAGGTCCATGACTTCAGCCTTATTTTCCGTTTCAGAAAACTGTCGTCAGCATCATGGGCCCGTCGCGAAGCGGCAAAAGCTTCTTGCTGTCATATTTGACCAGGGCGCAAAATCGTGTTATTAGGTTTGTTCACTGAACGCATAACTAGAACATTTTACAACTAAAACGTCAACGTTTTACAGCGGCAACTTTAAAACGGGGTACACTCGCTGCACGCAGGGGATTCTGATCCGACGACGGCCGGTGGAAAAGGATGGAGTACGTTTTGGCTAACCTTCAGATGACCCCTCAGCCGGCCCCCAACGTCTGTATCTCGGCGCCCTGTTCATCTACAGGTATGTAAAGTATACCAAAATACTCGCCAGAGCAAGACGAACATTTTTGTATACCTTACACACCTGTAGATAAACAGGGAGTCGAGATACAAAAGTTGGGGGCCGGCCGGGGGGGGGCTATCTGGAGCCTACCTATGTTTTTTTAGGTTTCCGTTTTCAGATGGCATTTTTTTCTACCAATTTTGCTGTGCTTTTTAGCACCTCATCTTCTACCTCGACACCCAGGGCACCTTTGATATGGAGACGGAGCGAAACGTGTCGGCGTGGATAGGCGTTTTTAGCCTTCTACTGGCAGATGTTCAGGTTTTCAAAGTGTCCGTTAAAAGCCCAACTAATGGGGGTTTAGATCCTAAACCTTCGTGGAAACGTTGAAGCCGATAAGTTGCAAGATTTACACATGTTTGTTGAAATTGCGACCGCGTTTCCGGCGGCGGTTTTTCCAAAGGTTTGTCCTTTAGGTAATTTTGCTAGGGAGATAGAGGAGAGAGAGAGAGAGAGAGAGAGGGAGAAGAGAGAGAGATGGAGAGAAACGGAGACAGGGAGAGAGAGGGAGAACGAGTGTGAGAGCGAGAGAGACAGATAGTAAGTGAGGTAGAGGTAGCGAAAGAGAGCATGAGAGAGTTATGGTGAGAGAGCTCGAGAGAGAAAGCGAGAGCTAGAGAGGGAGTGAGAGAGTGAGAGAGAGAGAGCGAGAGAGGGATACAGAGAGAGACAGAAAGAGACAGAGGGAGATAGAGAGCGAGAGAGAGATAGAGAGAGATGAGCGAGCGAGAGCGAATGAGACCACTTTTAACTTCAGAAACTCCTTTTCCTCATCCGCGACTCCCCATACCCAGATCGGGACTCCGAATTTTTGAGCGACCTATGGGTTTGTTGACGTTATTTTCCGGCTCTTACTGGCCATCTAGTCACAATGCGAGCTAGCCAGCGACCTGAAACAAATATCGGCTCGTTTGCGAGAGAAATTTGGCGATGAGATGCACTGTGTCTGCGCCCCGATGGCAAACCAGCATTTGCGTGTGGCGAGCGGTCGCCTGGAGTTGCGCCCGGAAGGTGGGGTTGCATCCGGTGAACGATGCTCTAAATGGTGTCCCAGAAACGCTCACGCTCTGGCGGTCCGGTGGAAGGATCTGGAAAGAGTGAAGATACAGGCGGTTTCGCTTCCTTAGATTGTGTAGGCTGTCTTGAACCTAAATTTTTTGTAAAAATGCGCGCTGTTGAGCCTAAAAACGGCAAGTGAAATACGTGAATTTGATCCTCCGTTACATCCATTTTTTCACGGAGTTGGCAAAAATAAAAGAAGCTTGAAAATACCTAATCTAAACGCGAAAAGCGCTGGTTTGCTAGCCGCTACAAGAGGGTTTTGGATTCATACAAACTCGTATCCCAAGGGCCGCTAGACGCGGATACGTTTTTCGCAGGTAACCTGACTAATGCACCGAGTCTTTCAACCTGGGTCAGCTCACTGAAAATTCAATCCTACTTGTACAGGGTGTCCCAAAACAAAACGACCCATCTGGCATTTCGCCGTGTTACATCCAATCGGCCACAAATTTGGATCAGAGGTGTATCAGACCCTAAATAACCACAATCCTGACTTATAGCCCCGTAGCTATAATAGTTCTTGAGTTATAACGAAAATACTGTTTTTCCCGCGATTCTGAACAGTTTTTCCGGCTATCTTTTTGGACTTTGCATCGATTTGCATCGACCTCCGGCTGTGAATCCCTAATTTCGCTTAAGAACTTGGATAGTTTTGCGTTGTAAAAATCGCTTAAGTCGAAGCTTATTTAATTAATTTTACTCTGGAAAAATTTCTTAAAGTAAAGAAGGCCTGCCGGATCATTTTCACTTAATGTTTAGGGGGTCTAGTTCCACGAAAACCCTATGAAAAATGGAAAATAAAGTTTGTTTTTGCCATAACTCAAGAACTATTATAGCTACGGGGCTATAAGTCAGGATTGTTGTTATTTAGGGTCTGATACACCTCTCGTCCAAATTTGGGGCCGATTGGATGTAACACGGCGAAATGCCAGATGGGTCGTTTTTTGGGACACCCTGTAGTCTAACCCACGTTTAGATACGCCGTTCGTTGCAAAGTTGAGCAAAGTGCAAAATTACATCGAAGATTGGTCCCATAATACCTCCACGAGGAAGGACTTCCTCAACCTGGGAATGGTGCGCATATTTTTTCGCAGAACAATTTTGATCATCTAGAAAGTAGCTGATTTCCTCACCAACAAAGCTCCACAGCTTGGGGCGTCAACGGTGCAGGTAGAAAGAGATTGTTGATCAGGACATTTTACTTCCCAGTTAATGCGAGAGTCCAGCATCCTGGTGGCGGTGAACAAATCGCTAGAAGCGTTCTTGCAGCAGATTAAGGTAACTGCTCCACAAAATATAGCATCTCTCTGAATTGGTATCATAATGTCGAAACTCATAATGTCGAAATTTCATAATGTCGAAACTCAGAATGTCGAAATTCATAAGGTCGAAATTTCATAATGTCGAAATTTCATAACGCCGAAATATCTTAATGTCGAAATTTCATAATGTCGAAATTCAGAATGTCGAAATTCATAATGTCGAAATTTCATAATGTCGAAATTTCATAACGCCGAAATATCTTAATGTCGAAATTTCATAATGTCGAAATTTCATAATGTCGACATTCATAATGCCGAAACTCAGAATGCCGAAACTCACAATGTCGAAATTTCGTAATGTCGAAATGTCATAATGTCGAAATTCAGAATGTCGAAATTTACAGAGGCTAATATAAACAGTGAAACCGCCAAATCCTAGCCAAAAAAAATGTTTCCACATTCTATTTTTTTTTTATCTTATTTCACGACAACATTTTTTTGCCTAGAGTTCGGGGACTTTACCGGGAATTTTAGCTTATGGAAATTTCGACATTCTGGATTTCGACATTCTGCCATTTCGGCATTATGAAATTTCGACATTATGAGTTTCGACATTATGAATTACGACATTATGAGTTTCGGCATTATGAATTTCGACATTATGAATTTGGACATTATGAATTTTGACATTGTGAAATTTCGAAATTATGAATTTCGACATTATGAATTTCGACATTATGAATTTCGACATTGTGAAATTTCGACATTATGAATTTCGACATTGTGAATTTCGACATTGTGAAATTTCGACATTATGAATTTCGACATTATGAATTTCGACATTATGAATTTCGACATTATGAATTTCGACATTATGAATTTCGACATTATGAATTTCGACATTATGAATTTCGACATTATGAATTTCGACATTGTGAAATTTCGACATTATGAATTTCGACATTATGAATTTCGACATTATGAATTTCGACATTATGAATTTCGACATTATGAATTTCGACATTATGAATTTCGACATTATGAATTTCGACATTATGAATTTCGACATTATGAATTTCGACATTGTGAAATTTCGACATTATGAATTTCGACATTTTGAAAATATCTCTGCAGAACGCTACCTACGAAACGTTCCAAGCCGATGTAAAGACTGCGGAAAAAGAGGGGCTTGAGAGGATTCAGAAGCTCGTCAAGCCTTCCGATTTTGAAGAAGCGGCCCGTTTATTCAAGGAAAAGGCGCAGGTAGAGGAGTTTAAGACTAGCAGAAGTCCCTGCGGGCAAAACAACAGCCATCAGTTTTTAGGAAGTGGCAAAGAGCAAAGCTTACGAGTTACAAGCCGGAGAGGCCGATCGAGTTGGTCAACAGCTTTCCGCGCAATTCCTAGCGGATGAAATGGCGAACATCACAAAGGTATCAACTTTTACTAAAAAAAGACTGATCGATTGTGTAGATTACTGACGTGTACACCTTGCTCGAAATGACGCGTCAAAACTCCGCGACCCGAATCCCGTGCGACCTCGCCATCTCCGCTGCGCAAAAAATTGAGTTGGCCGCAAAGATTTATGTCAGTGATTTCATCCTTATTTATGTCAGTGATCCTACTATGTATAAAAAAGTAGTGTCCGTGTGTGTCTGTGGACAGTTTGCATAAATGACTCAAAAAAACCGGGTTACCAAGATATCGCGAAGGGGGAAGGGTTTTCGGGCCCAGTCGAAAGGTATTTAGGGGTATTCGAGGGCGTAGATTACTGCACGCTTCTCAGATTTAGCAGAAAATGACGATTTATACTTTATTTTGGTGTTTTTAAAACATATGGAAATGCCCTCATTTGCATACGAGGCGCTAGGAGGCTCATTTCGGATTTTGTCACGCTCTCAGTCGGTCGCTTTTGTGATTGTTAAGGTTGAGAGGTTGGCACTAATTGGGTAGAATTATGCAAAGTGCCCAACGTCTTAAGATCCTCGCGCAAAGGCCACTGTTGAAAAGCCGCGTAGCGGCTTTTCAACCCTGGTTTCATCCTTAAAAGAACGCTTTCCTTTATTCAGAATTTTATCGTAACGCGCTACGAGCAAATACGCAATTTGCAATTAAACTTCCTGCTAGCCAATGCGGATCGTGAGATGCGGGTGGAGATGGAGAAGGTATCAGATCAAAATGGATTCCATTTTCCGCAGAAAATAGCGGAAGGCGTGGAAATACACCAAGCCGCAGAGGTTGCACGACGTCAAGCCACAGCGAGCCTGCATAGCGCCCTGGAAAAGCTGGGATTCCAATCGGGCGATATCGTGAAGATTGGCGAAAACGCTGGACGCCAGCTGGAGGTTTGACTCACAATCAGGAGAGCCCGAAGAATTTTTCAGCAAGCCGCACAGGGGCTAATCCAGCGATTTGTAGCTGATCGCAACAGTAACGCGGAGCTAAAGAAGCTGCAGGCAGAATACGAGGCAAACACTAAGGTATCAAAATGACTTTGAGGAGAATTCCACTCAATTTCTGAAAATATTTTTTTCTGAATGTTTTTTTTCTCAAAATCAAGTTGGTTTGGCAATTTTATCACAATTACCTAGGCTCAAAAAATCTTAGAAAAAACCCGGGTTGAAAAGCCGCTGCACGACTTTTCAACCCTGGCCCCGTCTAACCCCATCATATTCTTCATTCTGCATACGTCTCTCGAATCCCGATTAGGAAAAATGAAAAATGACACTTTCTGCCTGAGTATATAGGCTACCGCCACTTCCGGTATAGGCTAATTATTTCCGAACAAAGAGAACTCCCGAAATTTTGACAAAAACTAAAATTTTATGTTTAAAACAATTAGTTTTGTAAAATCTAATAAGCGTGCAGTCATCCCAAAGCCATTACGCACCTAATGACGTATCATACATAGCCTAAGACCTTCCCGTCTTGAGCTATCCTCCGGACATGGTGACGGAAGTTGCATGCAAAGTGGCACACACAAAAACACTATTTTTTATATATAGTAGGATGAATGCCAACTCGGCAAAAAATTTCGTGCCGAGATAAACCGAAAAAAAGTACCGGAAAACCAGAAATGGACGCAATTTTTACAATATGTGCACTTTCTCCATTCTGTGATTCTGATTCTGATCCTTACACGTTGCTTGCCAACGGCGCTCCACGCGCATGATAAATTAAATGGATGTTATGAAGTTTTGTGGGGTTCAAGGTGGAATGAATTGAATAATAGTTTGTCGTTCTGGAGCCAAAAATTCGACAATGTTTTTAGCGCGGAATAGATTCTACGATGGCGCTGTACGATGAGAGCGATGACGATTCAGTTCTGACAACAACCGAAAACGGCCCAGACGTCATAGTGGCGAATCGTCAGCCACCTCCACTTCCTATCTTTCCACCGGCACATAGGCAAGAATCCGGGACAAGTCTGCCCAGGGCTTCTCCGGCGCCCTCCCGGTACGAGCCTCAAAGTCTGCCAGCAAGACCTGCGCCTGTGACCAATTATGGCACGCTACCCGCCATCAATCAACAACCGATTAGACAGCCCGAACCGCCTAGACAACCCGAAAGAGGCCTTCCAGCACGAAGCGTCCCGTTAGATGCCGCTCATTCAAGGAACAACGAGGCCGTTGACCCGCTCAAAGCTGGCAAAGATTTGATGCGGGAGGAACTAGCGATCCTCGAGAAGTGCTATACGGTAAGATTATGAAGATCCTACCTTATATAATTTGGTCGCGTATCTTTGTGTGTGTGTGTGTGTGTGCGGATGTCACTTTCGAGCATCGATTTGAGGGCCTTCCCGTGTATAAAAGGCTCTAATTTTCCGTCACTAGGGGTAATCGACCCTCCTCTTTCCAATGGCGTTCTCAGAATTACGATAAAATATAAGTTTACAAAGTTAAAGCCGGTTTTATTCATTTTTCGGGGGTACCTGAGGGCTAATTTGCATAATGCGAAAAAATACAAATTTCCTCATTCTTCACAGTTGCACGCGCGTGTCGGGGAGGTCCCAAAGACCCGAGCTACCGGAAAGTCAAATTTCTCATGCAAAACCGCATTCCAGCGCCCAAGGCCCGCGAAGCGGGTTTTGGGCGCTGGTTTAAAATAAGTGCTTACCGAGGTCTCGAACTCCAAAGTCACTGCCTGAAATTTGTGAAACATAAATTAGTTTATATCCTTTTTAAACACGGCCATTCGGTAAATTTGGAAATCGGATTTGGAATCAGAAAAAATTCTGCGCATGATAGTCTTGGTCTCAAACCGAACCCCAACTGAACAGTTTCTGCGAGTTGTTTAAAAGTTGCTAATCGCTCGTTTTTAGGATGAACGGGTCGCTAATAGGCAAATGGCCAATCGGCTGAAGGGTAAATGCTTGGATAATTGCTACGAATATTGCCGTGCGCTACGATATCAAGACCACGATATAACGGCGCTGATGCGTGAGCTTGAAGGGAAAATAATGGAGCTGGAGCGACGGTTCCCCCGCGACGACCCGGTCGTCGATGACACCAGGTGGCGAACGATTGAATTCAAGTGATTTTAATAGTGATTTAGCTCCTACAACCTACCTGCGTCGCTTGTGAGTTTTTGAACTCATTATTCGGTTTCGTGGGCGGGAAATATGGTCGTGTTCTGCTTGGGAAAATAAGCTCGAGAATATAGCGGTTTTCCCAAAAAGCTCTCGCTTCTAGAGGTCCGGAGGAAGCACGGATCAGAATGAGTTTAATGCCATTCCCAGATTTCCAAATGGCGACAAAAAAAGCGCTTTTGACTTTCCCAAAGTTTTATCTCTCAAGCGACATAGAAGATTTTCCTAAAAAAGGTGAAATCAGCACTTAAAGGGATACCCAATGTTTTGGCGGCAAATATATAGTTATGTATTCCGGGAGTACAAATGACGCGCGAATTTTGTGCGGTAATGGATGCCCAGTGCCGCACAGAATTCGGCCTCCTCTCCCCCTTGTGGCGTCCCCATCTCGACCAATGGCTTGCCACTATGGCCTAATGGATAACATCCAGGTCTTGAAAGCGGGGTCCCGGGTTCGACCCCAGCCCGCGTCATGGTTTTTCCTTTTTGAGCCCCGAAAAGGTTGGGTATCCCTTTAAGCTGCAGAAGTCGCATCAAACCCGGTTCGATCCCAGGTCGTAATTTTTCTTGGTTTTCGACCCTAAAATTCGTAGACTAAAATGCATTAATTTCCGAAAACAAGAACGCCTGTTTTCGCGCCTAACCGGGAGCTTTCGACAGATACCTAAATCGATAAGACGGACACTTCCCCATCCCACTAGAAGCCCACTAGCGCCGTTAGACGGCTTTCGGCGAGCTGGCCGGAATTGATCATTCCGGCAACCGTCCGCTAAAACAATGAAGCGTTTTCAGATGGAACTGTTATGTTGTGCCCCTAAGCGTGTTTAGGGTGCATTGTACGCTTACGCGAAAGATCGCTGCTACTCGATATTCAATGACTCTATGCAAGCCGACCCGCCCCAATCGACTCACCAGGTGATGTCTGACGAAGAGCTTCACTGAGTTTTGATCGTTCTATTTTATGTAATAAAAAGCATCCTGGAAGAAATGGTTGTACAGATTATACCAGCGTTTCAATACCGGCGTGGATTGCCCAGTAATTTACTACTATGTGTTTTACGTACCTCTGATTTTAAGTACAAAAGCATTTCAAAAACTATTTTTGAAACCGGGGCAATTTGTTCATTTTCCTATAGCATAGAAATAAGAGCTTTTGATGAAAAGTGTAACATTTATTAAAGAACGCTAGAACTCTGGAACGCACACTGTCACCCCGATGGTGCGCCCCCCAAGAACGCGCGGAGAGAGGCGTCATTAGTGGTGCCCCGTATCGGGCAAAGGCCCGCTGGGGTTCGGGGCGCCTCTGACTCCCTGTCCCCCTTGGCCCTGTGGTATAGTGGCTAGCGCGTGGGACTGTGGAGCGAACCATCGCGGGTTCGATCCCCGTCCGGTGCGCAACTTCATCGTTCTGAATAAACCTTCCGACCCCCCCCCCCCCATTTACCCCCGTCGCCACTTTCAGAACATTCGAAAATAACGCCAATAACAGCGCCGCAGGCGAAAAAATTTAGAAAACCGCGTTCGTAACGCTTAAATTCGTGTGAAAACACAACGGAAATGGCGCGCGCAAGCTACATTTTGTTCGGCAAAAATGATGCACTACTGAAAACGAGCGCCGCAGGGAAAAAATTTTAGAGAAATAGGTTTTCTAGAAGTAAAAATCGTCTCGAAACACTAATAAACAGCGCCGCAGGCAGAAAAATTTTTGCGAAAAAAAATCATAAGGGTCCCCCCTTATGAACTTTTCGGACCCCGTCCGATTACGGGGGAGGGGGGTTATGGGGGTTTTCTGGGTTGTTGAAAAAAAAGTTGAAAAAGCCTGAAATGATCTTAAAACTTAAAACCATTAACTTAAAACAGCCAGAATTTTGCCCAGCGGGGGTCTTTGGGGGTTGGAATGGGGGTTGGAACTTTATTTTCAAGATCACTAGAGGGGTTGAAAAAATTAGGCTGTTCCAAAAAAAATTGTCGAAATTTTCTTGAGCACAAAATCCTGAAAGCAAAAAAATCCTTTATTGGGGCTTATGATAGGCAACGTTAACAGTCTCGGATAGTAGCGGGCAGCAGCAATTACAAGCGTTAAGTGACACATGCAAAGGTATAATCCGTAGAGAGGTTCCATTCTACATGATCGAGCAACCGCCCTCCTCCTCCTTCTTCTTTTTCTCCGCCGCAATCCGTGCCTGCTCCGCCACACGTGCGGCCGCCTCCTTGCGCAGCTGAAAAAGAGCATGGGTGAAACGAAGGCGACACTGTAGTTCCAAAAATTAAGACGAATAAAAAGGTAGTTGGTTTTTTGACGCAAACTATAGCTGACAATACTCTGCGAGAGATTCCTGCTAGCCTGTCCTACACCCAACGCGCCAAAGTCCCAGCGTAAAAATTGGTTTCAAGAAAATTCAATAAAGAAACTAGCCAATAGTAAGACGCGAAAAAGATGCCGCCAAAAAGCGACCGTCGTGACATTTTCCTGCCTTAGATCCAATCAGTAAAAGTTTTCAAAGAAATAGAGAAAGAAAAAGAAAGAAAGCCCAAACAATGAATAGCGCATTGGGTCGACAGCCCCCCTTTCCGCGTCGTAAGCGTCCAGAGGGGCGCTCCGTCGCTCTTTCCCCCCACAAGGCTATAGTTGTGTCGCAACAGTGAAAAGATTGCTTCAAGAATCGTTCTTTTGAATATGTCGAATCAAAGTAAGTGGTCGGTACATGACGCATTCAGTGGATGCCTGGCGAGCCAACACTCGCGGGGGGCGCCGGTAAACTAGATCTTACAATTAGCGGCTTAATTCAAACGCCTTTTTGCAAGTCGGGACCGGGATCGTTGTTACACCTTTGGGCCAAGTTCTGGACAATTGAATGCACGACCCCCAAATGCCAAGTGGGGTTAACACTTTTTTTACAT